GCAAAAACCCTCAAATCTGGAGCATGGGAAAAAGAAACTTCAGGGAGAAGAGAGAAAAGGCTCAGATTTCTGCCTTCTCTGCAGTGTCACCTCATGGGGTGACAGTCCAGCCCCATGAGGTGACACTGCAGAGAAGTGTACCCCGTCTTGCGGGAGGTACCTTACCTGACATCGGGGTACTTGGCAAGGAAGCCCAGCACCTCCAGGCTGAGTAGTGCTGGGTCTTTGAGGCAGATCAGCTCCCGCAGGGCAAAGACAGCCTCTAGGCTCTGCTGGCTCCGGTCCAGGCCCTGAGGGGGAAAGCAGACAGGTATGAGATCTGGAGGAGGTCACTGCTGGTGAGACACAGCTGGATCCTCAGTGGGTGCATGGGGACCTTGTCCTCTGCAGTTGGTGTCTCCCCACTCAGTGTGTCCCACCCGTCAGGGGTGGCTCACCCCAAGGCTGCGCAGCCTCACCAGCCCCTGCTGGGCAGGGTGATGGCCTCTTGAGTCCCTAATCCAGCCAGTTCCTCCCATCTTGGCCTCACAACTGCCCAAGTGTAACAGCCATGTCTTGCTTCTGAGCTGATTTACCCACCCCACCTGCTGTGGGCTGGAGGGGAGCAGGAGAGGGATGGAGAGGTGAGCTGTGAGCTCCTTTAACTGACTGTCCTAGGTGATGATGCCCTCCCATGGCACAGCCCTGGCTCCCCCCCCACATCCAGGCACCTCTCACCAGGCCACAGAAGAGCTCCCGGAGCTGCGTGGCATCCTGCAGCATGCGGTCGCAGAGCTGGCGCCGCTCCTCCCTGTTCTTGCACACCATCTTCTTCTGCATGAGTGCCCGCAGGTACTGGCTCACCACCAGCAGCTCAGTCTCCGTCAGCAGGAGCTGGGCAGGGGAGAGCTGTTAGCACTGGCATCGACTCAGTTTTGGACCCCAGTTCCCCAGGGAAAGGCAGAGGGGAAAAGAGCTGGATACAACCCCAAGCCACAGGGACAACCTGCTGGGAAGACTCCTGGCTGAAGGGACAGAGAAAACAGTTGGGTTTGGGGGAAGCCCTGAATATCCCTGTGTGGTGGTGCCCTCTGGGCTGCTCTGGAGGATACAGGCTGTCCAGGAACCCCAGCAGCATCCCCCGCATCCTGCACCCAATGCCTGGCACCCAACTGCCCACCCTCCCTGCCCTGCAGACAAGCAGCCGTTCAAAGGACACCCGTACCGTAAAGACAGGTTTCCTGACCCGGGAGAAGTCCTTTGCATACTTGTCAATCACTTCACACATGCTGCTGACGACCTGGGACCCAGAGAGCCACTTGCGGGAGGGCAGCTGCAGGCAGAGGGGCTGAAAGGAGCAGAGGAGCAGTGTCTGGTGCCCTGCACCATCTCATTGCTCTCCCAGCCGCTGCCAGCTCAGGACGGCACAACACCCCACAGCTGCTGCTTGCCTGCTGCCTGGCAGCATGGCCACTTTGCCTTGCAAAACCCCCAAGCCCCTGCTGGCAACTAAAACTCAATATAAAAACAGAAGAGTGGTCTAGATTAGGAAAGTATGGAAACACACTGGGGCTGTCCCTCCCTGACACCCAGAGAGCCCTGGTTTGGGGCTTTACCTAGGTCACGGTGCAGCACTTGAGGTGTGGGCAGCAAACTGCTCTTCACAAACACACTTTTGGCCTGTCCTGCTGTGATTTTAGCTTCCACTCCTCCCCATTTCCCTTGTGGAGACATAGCATCTTCTTGGCTAAAGTCTTTGATTTCCTACTCCTGCCTTGCTGTCCATGCCTGTTTTTCTGCCTGCAGGCAGACATTCCCTCTGTCTCTGCTGGGGCATGGCTGCCTGTGAGCTCTTCACCCTTTGGCTCTTCCTTTGTTTTCATGGCACTTGAGCCTTAAATAGCAATGCTGTTAATTATTCCAGTTTTTGGTCCAGACTCCAGGAAAGCTAAATTTGACTACACTGGCAGGAAATGACTCGGGCAGCCACACATGGATTTGTATCCTCCGCACGGACATTGCCACTCTCCAGTTGGTTTTGTGCCATGAAACAGTCATGAAGAGGAGCGTGAGGCAGCCCAGAGGGGCTGTGGCCCCTGGTTTCTGTCCGTTAGTGATTTGGGGGCCACGAGTCTCCTGCCCCAGCGATACGGAGCAGTGCTGGCTGACAACAGACATTGTGTGGTTTATCAAGGTCTGGGAGCCAGGCTGGCAGAGATGTCTGCAGGATGATAGCAGGGAGGGTATGGAGTACATGGCAAGGATCCTGGGCAGGAATAAACTTGTGCCTGGGGTTCTTGCTAGGACCAGGTTTGTTGCAGTCCTGTCAGCCTCAGGTGCTGTGAGCAAACATACCTGCAGGTCCAGGAGTAGTTCCTCCAACAGCAGCTGGCAGGCTTTCTTCTGCATCCTGTCTAGAGCAGCCTGGAGGGATGCAGGGACTTCTCTGTGGGCAGTGTTGGGGTGCAGGGAGGAAACAGAATTGCTAGGAGAGAGAAGAGAGGGAACAGATAGCCTGGGAAGCAAGGTGGGGACACTGGTCCCACAGGAGGATGGGGAGGATGTGGCTTCCTTGTGGGTGGTGGGGTTGCTACAAGAGCTACAAGGTGCTGGTGCAGGTTACCTGAGAGCCAGGTTGTTGTTGAGCATGGCCAGTAGGTAG